AAAACTCATCCAAGAAACACACACACAAAAAAAAAGAAAAACAGCCACAGGGGAGATAAAAGCACAAGTACCTGAAAGATAAGCCCTGCTGTTCCACTCAACTTTGGCCTTATGGGTCGGCTGAATTCAATACCAGCTGTGATGCGACCAATGGTCAAGTTGCTACCATCTTGTTGGTTACCATGGATAAGTGTTCCAGGGGTTCTTGAATTCTAACAGAAAAGAATTGGTCAAGCGTTTCGCCATAACAAATTTTCAAGTAGTGAATAGTCAAACAATAGTACTTTATACAATACAACATTAACGTACCTGAACCATTATAGTCCTGGACGTCCGCATATCATCTCCTGCAATCCATGGATCTGAGTAGTTTATACGAAATATTGAGTCTATCTGGCCCCTCTCCAGAGAAACATGGAGCTTTTGATTTCTTCCAAAGAGATTCCTATGAGAATATGCAAAGCTGCAAGGCAAGAAAGAAATTTATATCAAAAGTGTAATAATGAAATCATAAGAATCTAGTGCAACACTAGATGACATGCTGATAGTGAACACTAACACTATTTGAACATAGACACATGTATATTTGTATGTATATGTAGAAAGACATAATGCTTACAGAATCCAGATGGTCTGTCACTTCATAAAATATTAATAATAGAAAGCATTTTCAATACACAACTTTTTATGTGCAGTAGATTACCTTCCAATGAGTCCTGAAAGAGGGCCGCTTGTAATTCTGAAATTAAATAACAGAAGTTAACATTTTATACCACAAAATCTAAAACATAAACTCATATATCGACCACACACAAAAAAGTCAATTTGTATGTTCCACTCATTTGACTTACCCACTAGATATACCACCACCAGCAGAAAAACCTCCACTTGGTCGCTCAACAACATTCATGGAGATATCAACCTTACCAGCATCTACAATTTTGCAGTAGTTTTAGCAAGCAACACATTCAACCACATGCATGAACTCCACACAAACGTGTATAAATTTTTAAAGATAAACAAAAACAAAAAAAAATCATTGAACACTAACAAGATGGAAAAAATGTTTTCCAACGAAAATATTTGCAAAAAAGATTTCTTTACCACCTGCTGGCTGGGGTATAATGCTAACATCTTCCATAAGTCCCATCGTCAATACAGTCTCCACATCTCTTTTTCCTTGAAGCATACTGTAGACCTACATAGGTATCATCCCAAGTAGCAACCCTTAAAAGTTGACATGTCACCACTAAATTTAGTGCATTTCTTTAAGGAAGAACCATTTAAGCATAAATACTTGATGGCAAAGTAAAAGCACAATGTTCCCAAAAACCCACTAAGATCATTATTATATAGAGAAGATACGTCCAGGAAAGTACCTGACCCTTCTTTGTAGTAAGTTGGCGAAGTATTGTTTCGGGCTTTGTCTTCCCTATAGTTGGTTCCCCACTAAGAAGAGCACAGAAGAATTAGCAAAGAAATCATTTCATAGCCACTTTTTCAAGAAAATTTGAACATTATCCATGCATGCAACATCTGTAAATGCGAACTCGATTAAACCTGTAACTTACGTCTTCCTGTCAAGGAACCGTATGGAGATATTATTGACCTCCGCTTCTGATACTTGTAACTTAAGAACACCCCCTGAGAGACTCTCAACAGCTGAAACCTATAATGTAATCAAGAAAAGAGCTGTCTACTATTATGAAAAATCTTGATAAAAAATAAAGCACAGTGAAGTCTTCACTGAACCAGTTCTACATTCTACAGCACTAGAAATACTAACTTCATCTTTGTACATGCCGAAATTCAAAACAATTATAAAAAACTTATAGAGAAGAAACCAACCATTGCAAAAAGGCCCCGATCCATGTACCAATCATTGATGGAAGATATAACTTCATTCAAACGCTTAAGATTAATAACTTTTCCTGCACAACTTGACACCAAAATCGAAAATCAATATAGGACTCTTTGATCACACTTAAGTGGCACACCAGA